AGGGGTGGTGAATGTTTAACGATTACCTACATACATAGAAACACCAAAAGTATTGACTGTTGTTGAACATTGACCCAACTTTTGTAATTCATTACTGGGTATATATATTCATACATTTTGTTTAGTATCGATCAATTAACAAAATATACAAAAACTAAAGGAGCTGCTGTTTATGAAAAGAATCTTGTCAAATTAAACAAGACATTTCTTTAATTTTTTGTTTAAATGTGTTTCAGGCCCAAGGATCATAATACGTCAGTTCAAGATTTTAGAGTCTAATATCGAAATCTTTCTTTTGGGTGACATTTTATATTTTATTCAAGTATCAAGTATATGTAATTTTGAAATAAAACAATTTTCAGTCCAAATTATTTCATTATTGGGGTCAGGTCTACTTGTATAACTTTTGCGGTTATAGTTGTATGAATGCCAAATACCTGTTCACTCTTCCTAAATTAAGCAGGTATACAAGCCGACATATACACAGAACAATGAAACGACAGATTTCACAACTTCTGTAAGTTTTTAGAATGTCATCATCACAGAGTGTCAGGTGTAAATATAGATGTGAAGAAACTAACACATATTTCAACACAATATGGCTGCAGTTATCTTTATTCCAAATATAAAAGACCCCAATCAATAGCCACGAACAAACACGGCTGTATGTCCTAAGTACACAACTGGACGCGGAATAAAGGGACATGTTTGTTGTGGGTGTCCTGCGATATATCTTACCTGTGTTAGCTAATCCTCTTTGATAACATCCTGCCAAGGATTAAAATAAAAAGCTGGAATGTCATCGCTAAAGAATTCACAGATTATTTACTTAAGTGTACCATAGAATTTTTATTCCTCTTTGACAAAATATTCTTGTTCAAATATTCTGAAGAATTCAGAGCTGGAAGAAACAGTGACCTCTTTTATATTGCGGGATTTGACGATTTGTTTGTTGTTCCAGCTAAGGTATTCTTTCCAGCAGTTTAAAAAACTTGCAGTGTTAACATGTGCGCTATCAATGTATCAAATGGAATATACAATCTCACTGTATTTGATAATAATGGAAAGTAAAACGTAAAGTGTAGAGCGTACTCTCAACATATTATGAATGGAGTAAACAAGACTGTTTTTTATTTATCTGACATTTGAAATAATTTATCATGTGACAAGAATTCTGTATGAAGTACAGGCACTTTAGCATGATAATTTATTACAGCCATTTCTACGTGTTCCTGAGGTCAAATTTACTTTCTTGCCACCTACAAGGTACTTTTCACACTTAAGGCAGGACTTGTATATGTTCTATTACCTGTTACTACACTTGTGTATATTTACCTGTACCTGCACTGTTATATATGTGTCTAACATATCGTATTTTGTGTACATTTGAATATAATAGCTAGTTTTCCATAGGGACAAGTGTACTATTGGTAGATGACCCCCCCCCCCCCCCCCCCCCTTCCTTCTTTTCTATCTAACAGCCCACCTGTGCTGATTAATTAACTGAAGTAAACAAAGAAGGCATGCTTGGAGGCTGTAGCCTAACTTATTTCACTGTGACCCCTGGTACTCTCTCCCCCCCCCCCCCCCCCCCCCCCCCCCCCCCCCCCCCAAACTCCCTTGGTAACCCAGACTCTGACAGCCATGTCAGTTCATAGTAATTATATTATTACCTGTATAATTACAATAAACAACCAACCTGTGGTACACAGACTATGAATTAAGTATATAGGTACCACATCAGGTTATTTATAGACCCTTCCAACATCTGGAGTGTCAAAAATATTCTCTATTACATCTGTAGGAGGCTATAGTGAACCAGCACATCAATGACCAGGGATGTTGGTCGACCTCCTTGGCTGGTAATTACCTAACAAACTTGGGTAAATCCCCCCCCCCCCCCCCCCCCCCCCCCCCACTGCATCTATCACTGAATTATCAATAAACACAAAATGTCCATGTCGTCTACATTATATTCTTATCTGTTTTTCATTGAAGGATTAAGATGTCCCTATATTACTAAGAATACATGTGTGGGAGGTATCACAATAAATTTATAGTCTCCGCCAAATATGTCCCCCATAAACAATATAACAATCACTGAATATACATAACATGCTACACTATCCCATTCTTTGTTGTCTCTGTGCCTTCCCCATCTCGCTAACAATATAGGTGATAGTCTATCACAACATACTTATAGAGTTAGCACCCTATCTCCCCAGCCTACCCCTTTCCTCTCTCCAAATCCAATTTACCTTCCATGGCGAAGCTTTTGTGTAAAGTTTTAAATTGGATTATGGTAAATAGGAATCTATTATATAACATTACATATGTCTAAAAGTCTCTCATCTCCTACTATTGCACTGGATAAGCTGTTCAGAAACTATTAAGAGCTGTAGATTTGATACAACATAAGCACAGTGGGGGTTCCAACCAAACCTGTGCTAATGTACTAGATATCTGCAGGGAAGCATGTGTGTGCAGTCCCTGAACAAAGAATGACCAAGTGTACACTGTACACACCAGCACCTCACCATGCACGCACCAGGGAGGGTCTGGATTACGATTTGGGTTATTTAGTGGAAATTACCAATAAGTATCATGTGTGTATAAGTCAGATGAGGTTGCCAGAAGAGTTCGGAGGATGTCTGCATGTTAGTAAGAAGGAGAGTGGGGGATATAGATTCAATGTATCATTATTGGGTGGGGGGGATACCTTATGGTAGAGCGGAAGGGTGAAATAATAGATATTCCATATTCCAGTTCATCCTGAAAAAAAAGTAGTGGTACCACATGCAATTTCACGAACCACAGGAGGAAATGAGTCTGATGGTGAACCAATGGAAAACATGTAAAAAGGAGTGTCGTTAAACATTTACATCACAACATGTGAAATAGTCACGGCAAGTCAGGGAACAACTCTTGGGTATATAGGGTGCAAGACGTGATTAATTGGCTTTTAACAGAGTTCTGTGTGGATCTGTTCTAGTGGAATATCCAGCCAAAATACAGACAGCACCCTTCAATAATTACACAGCATATTTAGAGGAGAAAAAATACTGTAAAAATCAGAGCGCTCTAACTTACACATTTAGTCACCAGATTGACAGAAAAATAGCCTGACATTGCTAAGCTCTAGTCTATACATATTCATCAGTAGACATACACCCTGATTGGGGAAAATATTCAGATAATTGTTTTTAGACCTCTGTAGTTGCTCTGGTTTCTAATGTAGCCTGGGAGAAGTTACCTGAATTATTCATCACTGAGCCGAGATAAGTGTGTATAGTGTAGTAGCCTACTTTTAGGTAGAATTCTAAATCAGGATTTTATAAGCTGATCAAGAATGTCCATTAAGCGTTATTACTTTAAAAGACTATGTTCTAAGTACTATGTCATGCTTCGAAATAATTAGATAAGATGGTACAGAATTAAATATATTGTAACTTAATTATAAATAGCTCCAACTCACCGACATTAAACTATTTCTATGTGTCGTTAATGATTGATATTAAAGAATTACGACACAAACATGTTTAAACTTTATATTTTAAGCTTAATAAAAATAATTTTACAAAATTATAACTGTATTTTCAAAACCTAATAAATTATTCATTTAAGCTATACATCAAGATGATTTTATGTTAATACTCTCTGAAAACAAAATAATGTTAATTTTGTTTAACAAGATAATTGTTTAATATGTGACCAAAATAATATCACATCACATGTTCATAGATAATACGTATACTCTTGTCATTGATGTGCCTGACTAAAGCTAGTTCCCCTTGTCATACTGTCCAGGGTAATATGGCACTTACGCTATTTGACTAGGGATAGACCAAATAGAGAAATGTCAAGTTTAGTCCAGAAAGTAAATATATTCAACTAAAAGCCCAAGCCTCTCCTAAATTTGATCAGCAAGCTCAAGATTTGTTTTTTCTCTTAAGATAATCACTTCCACAATGATAGCACTCACATTTCTTTGTTAGTGAAAATGCCAGCTATCTCCCAACAACGGTTATTATGACGACAAGTTGAACTAATTCTCGGCCAAAAAAGTATGTTGTTAAGAAAACAATTTTCACCTATCCCCAGTGGCGAGTGGTAGGCAAATTTCACCTGGCATGTGTCAGTATTACTCAACCCTATGTAATCAACAGGTAAGTCTGCATACAGTCTATACTTAATGCACTCAACCACAAATATCCACACCTTCCTGAATTACCTTAATTAGACAAACGATGACCAATCTTGTATAATTGTAGTTAATTTGTACTCGAAGACCTCAACGGTCAAAATTTCTTACACATTCTAACAGTTAAGTTTCCTCTATATAATGTTGGGGTGCATTCTCACTTTATGTACGTAATACAAGAAAGAAAAAAATATCCCAAAAAGTTCAAGAAGTCGTCAAAACATTGACATGCCCTCAACACATTAATATTTTCCAACCTGACACATGACAGTCAATTAATTTTCTATTTCTGACAGGAAAGACAGAAACATGTTATATAATGTTTATAGTGAAAAGGTCACTTATAAATGAATTTAAAAAAAGTTAATGATGAGAATAGATTTAAGTTATATCTGATAATTATATATTTAAGGCTTTTTATTGAAAGTCTGTATACAAACAAAAACAATGGCTATCTGTGTTAATTTAAAACAACAAAGACACTGCCAAATGGTCCTGAAGCTGGGTCTGAGTTGTAGACCAAAAATCTTATACGTTTCTCAATCGTCGAATCGATTCGTTGTATATGCACAAGGTTAACAAGACTGTGAAATACCATGCATTTTCAGAAATTTTGAAACACAGATTCCCTTCGCTGTAAAACAAGTGTATTCTCTATTTGATGTGAACAGCTAACATGTAGCTCGTAGCGTCGGTAGTGTATTCTAGACGTGTGCCGATAACGGCATCAGAGGTTTTGGTAGAAAAAAACTTTTTTTCTTTGATGATAGACTTCCTGAAATTACAAACCAAAACTTACCAGAGATCGCCTGGATTGGAACATCGTGCTCGTTTCCTCCCTGAGCTATGTAAGCTCGTTTGACTTCGATACAGGCCAAATTTAAACCGTGACTTCCAACAAAAAGAATGAATAACACACACCAGCACGGAGTTAATTTTGTGGCGGCCATTTTCTATGTCTTCTATGTCCGACCGCTGTTTACATGTATAATATTCCGGGGTTTCTTTGATCACACCATAGGTGTGTGTTTGGAACTCACAGAATAATCATAAATCCATTCGGTTGTCTACGATCGAAAAGTAGACGCCATGTTCCCTGTTCACGTGCTCTGTGATTCGGATTATGTGTCGAGGGATTGTCCTTATGACTGTATCGCAGAGCTCTCTCCGGTACTAGGATCTGTTTACATTGGCTGTTCCTTTTAACTCCCCGTCCGTCGAAGCGTCTGAATGAAGTCGAATGGTTTCGGTTCATTGCTTCGTACTCAGCGATAGATTAGTCATACAGAAATCAGATATGTATTTTGATTTGATTTTGACTCCAGCTTTAGTATCTTTTTACGATATGTTTTAATATTTAATAGAAACACATTTGCTTACTATTTTATATAGGGCGGTGAAAGGAATGGCATGGATTCCATAATACAGGGACCCTAATTTCATTGGCTGTTATGTTCATGTTTTAGTTGACAGGACACTTTATTTGAAGTTTTTAATATAAATTAAGGACACGTGATTATAGTAATGTATCTTTATATATCCTAAACTTCTCTTTCCTGTGTTAACTTACCGTTTGTTGTTTTTTATTAGTGATTTCAGGGAACGCTCACCTTCACAGGGCACCTGTTTTACCTAATTGTGAGAGTCCATGATGTCTGATGTCTTATAAGAGACCAAGGTTAGATGTAGATCCCAACCGCTATTTTCTTTCCTTTTCACCTCTTCTTAATAATGTCCTACTGCATGTTTGAAGCACCGGGACCTGTATGTATCACGTTTTACGGGTTTAGATCAACTTTCACGTTTTAGGGGTTTATATCAACTTTCTGTTAAAATGCTACCCCAATGATTATATATATATCCGTGGCGTTTTTACCGAAAGTTGATCTAAACCATTAAAACGTGTAAAATTACTATGAACACCTTAATTTAGGTCCAAATATAGCTGTAACAAATTATCAGGCCCTTCTTATTAGGAGATCGTGTGAATTTACTACTAGAAGACTACGAATGGGAAAATCTAATGATCAATATGGCTTTGTTTGAACGGCCCATCGACGGCTGTGGTCATTTAGGGCCATGGTGACTTATTTATTTATTTATCTTATTTTAACAAACATGTGAATCGCGAAGATAAAATCAGATAAAAAAGGTTCATTTTCAAAAGTATTCGCATTTTATGTGTAGATAATAAAAATAATAATAAAAGGGGGTTAAAATAATAAAAGAGATAACGAATAGATGATATGGAATATGCGGTATATATATAACGTCAAAAATGATAAGGTTGGTTAAAAGACATCAGAGTCTATAAAATAGCCCGATATCTTTCAAATAGTTAAATAATGCCTTCGAATCCACGGAACTGAAAAGTGTTTTCATATCCGGGACTCGGAAGTAGTTATCACGAATGTGTTTAAAATCGGAACATTCTATTAAAAAATGCTCCACTGTAAATGGAGTGTCACATGCGTGGCATGAAGGTATATCTTCTCGTTTTAAAAGGTACGAATGAGTAGGATATGTGTGCCCAGTGCGGAGCCGAGCGAGGACACCTTCCTCTCTACGATCTTTTCGACTGGGAATAGATGTTTTAAGTTTCGGTTGTATCTTAAAAAGTTTGTTGTTGGTCTCCAGAGACCAGCGTTTCTGCCATTCATTTTGAATGGCTGCACGAATAGTAGGTTTAAAATCTGTGTATGGTAGTTTGATATTTGTTTGTTCGAGATTCAATGCATTTTTTGCTTCCCTGTCAGCAAATTCGTTGATCAATATGGCAATTAATCTAGAAAGAATGGTGAGTGAGATGGACACATTATTGTAACTCTCTTCCTTTTTCTATTGATGAATGCTATCTTTATGTAATTTGAAATATGAACATATATGTATGTATTGATTGACTTTAATCTCTTGTAAAAGAGGAAATAAAGAATGTCTGTCTGTCTGTCTGTCTGACTGTCTGTGGTATTAACGTTTTGTTAAAGATTCTTATGCAATCTGATATAGCCACAATTAAGTCGCTCGAATGTAGGTTTTTATCACGTGTCGCAAAGAAAATTACCATATCTTAAGTTAATGCATTGTTTGACCATATTTCGATATCCTGCTTAATGACGTCAGGTCTGTCCAGTAACCTATAAATAGAGTGTTATAACCCAAAATATCATTGTCTTAATCTAACTAACAAAATATGACTTAAAGGTAAAACATAATCATATTTCTACACAACTTACAAAGAATGTCTTATTTCCGAAACCAAGATGTTCTGCCTTTATTGAGATGTGAAGAATTAGGCGCAATTTGCATTATTTTTCAAACGATACTTGTATGTATAATGAAATAACATCCATGTTTGTTGAAACGAGGACATGTTTTAATGTACGCCTTTGTATGTGCTGTAGAAATTTGGTTTTGGAAAAAAATCAATTTGCAGGTGGTATCGTTAACAGTAGTTGCAGGTGTTTCAATCGCAGAATTATTTTGTCACGCAAAAACAAACAACAACAATCACACTGAAAGATTACATAGTTTCTTAGCTTCAAGTTTATCTTAAAGGTTTCCCCCAATGTTTTTCTGAAATCTTTTAAAATTGAAACAATCGGGTTCATAACACCAGGTGCGCCATTATAGAAGATATCTTGGACCCGAACATCAACACATGTAGCGGAGGGGAGACTACTCAAACCCGCACACACGTTTAGACAATGCAACATGAAGTCAAACAATTTGACAATACGATATTTAACTCCAAATATATATGATTGGCTGCAAGATTTATTTCTGTTCGAAAGAGTGATTCTATGAGCTTCCAGCCAACGAGAAGGATCCATATATACATCCTGGTCTATGTATTTTGTATACGTGAAGACGGTGTGATGTCAAGTCGTAAGATGCTATTTCACACATTGAGATTATCCAAAATATAAACAAATGGTTTGGAGTGATGATATACATGTAAGGTTATAGGAGAAATGTTTTTTTTATATACATACACTTGTGTTCATTCATGAATCATATTCTGTGACGTCATACACCAGCTTCAAATGGGATGCAAGTATGCTACATTAGTTTGCGATGAACACGAAGACGTCGGTTATTTATGTCTCTTGGTGAACTGTATTAAAACGAATAACTATCACGATATAATTGTATGGATGTTTTCCTTTGATGTATTACGGTTCGAACTTCAACTTTTTAAAGTCCTTTACCACCCATAGGTGAATCATTCTTCCCAGCTATGTATTGGAATTCAAATAAATAAAAGGGAGAAAATTAAAATATTTACCTAAAATACTAAACAAGCCGTCATAATTTGTGAACAGCATGCACAATGAGGGATATCCTCACTATGGCGGACACCGTGATAGGATATAGAGATAGGTACAGGTGGATGAGCCTCGCCGACCTGGACGGATTAACCCCGCGGGACCATTCACGTTCTGCGCTTCCGCCAACATATAAATAGTTCCCCGGACCTCTACCTGGGATCAGATTTCACAGATAGGAAAGATTTTGTTCCGAAAGTCATAGGTGCACAGTGTTGGCGAGGGGTTTATAAAGATATATCACGAGGACATCTCTGTTCACTCGGCCACAAACACGGACATGTAAACTTTGGTGGATCTATAATCCGCAACAATTACCGACATGTAGATTTGGGTTTTCTACTTGCACGATTGAAGACCGGTAATCGGTAAACAAATATGTTTATAAGACATGACTGTTGATTGAGGTACAATGAGTAAACAACAAACCAAATAATCAGATACACATGTCAATTAACCGACACCCCACCCCACTCTCCACCCCCATTACACCTGTCAATTACCCGTACAGATATCTACCCGACACCCCACCCCACTCTCCATCCCCAATACACCTGTCAATTACCCGTACAGATATCTACCCGTCACCTCACCCCACTCTCCACCCCAAATACACCTGTCAATTACCCGTACATATATCTACCCGACACCCCACCCCACTCTCCATCCCAATACACCTGTCAATTACCCGTACAGATATCTACCCGACACCCCACCCGACTCTCCACCCCAATACACCTGTTAATTACCCGTACAGATATCTACCCGACACCCCACCCTCCACCCCGAATACACCTGTCAATTACCCGTACAGATATCTACCCGACACCCCACCCTCCACCCCCAATACCCCTGTCAATTCCCCGTACAGATATCTACCCGACACCCCACCCGCCTCTCCACCCCAATACACCTGTTAATTACCCGGACAGATATCTACCCGACACCCCACCCTCCACCCCCAATACCCCTGTCAATTCCCCGTACAGATATCTACCCGACACCCAACCCCACTCTCCACCCCAAATACACCTGTCAATTACCCGTACAGATAACTACCCGACACCCCACCCCACTCTCCACCCTCAATACACCGTCAATTACCGATATCTTCCCGACATCCCACCCCACTCTCCACCCCGAAAACACCTGTCAATTACCCGTACAGATATCTCCCCGACACCCCACCCTCCACCCCGAATACACCTGTCAATTCCCCGTACAGATATCTACCCGACCCCCCACCCCACTCTCCATCCCAATACACCTGTTAATTACCCGTACAGATATCTACCCGACCCCCCCCCCGCCCCTCCCCCCCAATACACCTGTTAATTACCCGTACAGATATCTACCCGACACCCCACCCTCCACCCCCAATACCCCTGTCAATTCCCCGTACAGATATCTACCCGACACCCCACCCCGCTCTCCACCCCATATACACCTGTCAATTACCCGAACAGATATCTACCCGACACCCCACCCCACCCTCCACCCCCAATACACCTGTCAATTACCCTTACAGATATCTACCCGACAGCCCACCCCACTCTCCACCCCCAATAAACCTGTCAATTACCCGTACAGATATCTACCCGACCCCCCACCCGACTCTCCACCCCAATACACCTGTTAATTACCCGGACAGATATCTACCCGACACCCCACCCTCCACCCCCAATACCCCTGTCAATTCCCCGTACAGATATCTACCCGACCCCCCACCCCACCCTCCACCCCCAATACACCTGTCAATTACCCTTACAGATACCTACCCGACAGCCCACCCCACTCTCCACCCCCAATAAACCTGTCAATTACCCGTACAGATATCTACACGACACCCCACCCCACTCTCCACCCCCATTACA